CCAATCAGCTAGATGTTGCTGGGGCCGCTGTGAGCCAATCATCAGCCGGCAGCTGGATTGCTGGCAGCTGGAAGTTTGCTGGGGCCACTTCGGCTGTGGCTCTCAACAGCCTCCATCAGCTATGATTAGGATTAAAAGGTCTAAAACATGCCAGCATGAGGTGGGCTCTAAAATTGTTGATTTCTTACCCCTTACCCTGACCTTTCCCCCACTGTATAGTCTGTGGTTTTACAAAAGTATTTCAGGAACTTGGGGACCAGCTTAATCATGAGGCCTTTGACCGCTTGTCTTCACAGCTACCCATGAAGCAAATACAGCAAGTTAAGACTATCAATCTTTGAGACTGGAAGCCCATGAGACTTCCAAATGGGAGACATGTGGTTATTTTAGGTCAAGATTCAAAGTCCTTCTTCTGTTTCTTACAGGATGGATGATCCTGTGTGCCTCAGATGGATCATATATAAAATAAGACTAATAGCATCTTTCTGATAGTATTGTGGTCTATAATGCTAGGGAAAATTGAGAAAATCCATAGAAAGTATCTGTCATACAGAAGATCTACAAAAACGACTGGCCCAGGCCTTAACCTGTATTCTCTCTACTCCCATAAAAGAGATTCTTAACAATGTAATTCTTTGAAAATGTATCTGGAAATCTAACCATGAGAAATGACATAAACCTGTTGTTAATGGTTTGAGTGTGACATGTTCCTCCAAAAGCTCATTTTGAGACAATGCAAGAAGGTTTAGAGGGAAAATGATTGGGTTCTGAAAGCCTTAACCCAATCAGTGAATTAATCCCCTGATAAGGATTAACTGAGTGGTAAGCAAAGGCAGATAGGGTGTAACTGGAGAAGGTGGGCACTGGGGGCATACCCCTGGGGTATATATTTTATATCTGATGAGTGGAGTCTCTGTCTCTGCTTCCTGATCATCATATGAGCTGTTTTCCACTGCCACACTCTTCTGCCATGATGTTCAGCGTCACCTCAAGCCCTGAGGAATGGAGCTAGCTCCGTATAGACTCAGATGTCTGAAACCATGAGCCTCCAAATAAAATTTTTCTCCTCAAAAATTGCTTTTGTCCAGTCTTTTAGTAACAGCAGCAAAAGAGATGACTCAAACACCTATTGTGTTATGAATGAAGATCAGGGCTATTTCTAAATTGTAGGGCAACTTAACCAAGGGTTGGAAGAAGGAAAGTAAATTGTCTGCACCCCTGACATCATCATTGTGTCAATGGAAAAGAGATGTCTCTGAATGAAAGGTTTGAATAGTTGCAGAGAGAAGGGGGAACTCCACTCAGAACCAGCAGTGTTTTTGGCATACATGATGGAGAAGAATTTCAGCATTTTCTAGTCAGAGGCATAGACAGAGGTTTGTTTAGGAAAGCGGACGCATATTCAAGGAAGAATGTGGACCACCTCAAGAGCGAGAGATATGTTTTTAGAGTTCCTATCTCTTCTTTTAAAGTAAATTTGGTGAGGGGTAGGTATGGAAAGGTATATAGGACAATGTCAGTCTGGTGATCTCAAGATGATTTCTGGTGGTATGCTCAATCTCCAGATCCTTAGGCTGACATGGTCTTCATTATCTGATTAATATATTGCTGCAAAGTCCCCTAAATTATTATAGGTTCCTCAAGGTTTAATGTGTTTATTGGGGAACCAATTAACAGTGCACATGTAGACTTATAGATTTCCTGAGAATTTGGGAGTTACAGGCCTGCAAGAGAGACTGGTTGAGGGAGTGACATGCCTGGAAAAATATACAGAACTTCTGAACTAAAATATTTTATTCCTTGTCCTTCCTGTATGACTCCTTCTACCTATTTCTTATTCCTTCTATCCTACTTCAAATTGGAGTACATGGTTGTGATCATCATCATTAGTGCAGGGTCGCAAGTTTTCCATAGACTTTTTTGGCCTCTGAACTCTTACATCTGCCAGCTTCTTAGTACAGCAACAAAAGAGATACACAATCTATGCCAATGACATTGTTTATACATATAATATGTAAAAGTTCATACAAACACATATATAAATCCTCACAATAATAAGCAAGAAAAAACTATTACTAAGTAAAAGCAACAATCATAATTTTTCTTCTTTCTGATAATATCTCTATTTTTGCACATTTTAAAATCTGAGTATATTTCTCAAACATAATATTAAATATGTTAGAAGAGTGTCTTCTCATTTAAAAACATAAAATGTGCAGGACCACTGAGCCTATAATATTTTGGGGGAATTTAGCCCTCTCTCATTTCCAGGTTTTTTGTGATAAATGATATCACTATGTACCTTATGGTGTGGTGTTTTGAACAGTGGCTGAGACAGAAGGAAGTTAGGATGAGAGATTTGAGGAAAATTGTAGGAAAGCAATTGAAGCAATGGTTTGTCATGATATTGAGACTTCCTGGCAGAGGGTAAAAGTTAATATGCTATGAGATCATAAAGCTTATAAAAAGGGAGGTACCCAAT